GCAGAAGAGTGTAGCTTGAAGTTACCCTCCTCTGTGTCAAGGACCTCCTTGGGGACATTCTCATAGCCAATTTTTGACTTAACATGAATTCTATCAGGAACCGGTGGAAAACTCGCTCCGGAGCCAGCCTTGCACCTCATGCAGTCCTGCTTCTTTGTCACTGGGCACCTTCCGCGCCCGCCTTGGGGCGCTTTGGATAGCGGGGCTTCCTCTTTGGAGATCCGGATTGAGGGGTCTCGGAGATTTGCTCCTTTTGTTGCTGCTGTCCTGTTCGCTTCGAAAGGTCGGGCTTCTTGTTTGCCAACACTTCCAGGTCCTTGATGTAACTCAAGGTCGTGGCTGTCCAGGCAGGGGGTATCAACGGGCTGAACGGCCTGCTGGTTGTCGAGACCTGGACCGAGCGTTCCTGAAACAGCTGTATAGGAGGGTCTTCGTGCAAACTCACGAGGTATGCCACAGCCCAATCCCCATTGTCGTAATTGGCCTGTTCGACCGACATAGCAAGCAAAGCAACAATCTCCTTCATACCAGCAAAATCTTCTTGGGCTGCAGCATCGATCGCATGAGCCAGGATCCACTGTATGAGCCCCAAAGTCTTCTGGTTTTTGTACCCTCCGGATTTCTCTAAATACTCCACCATTGAAACACTGCCCAGCTCCTGTTCTGATCGAGGAAGAGCTCGACCTGGATGAAGTTTCTTGTGCACCTGTTGCATCATCAGGAGGAAGAAGTTGCCGCTGCGAGCTGCCAGTTCTGCCTGCAGCTTCTCGCGTCTCTGAACTCCCTTCATGCTTGAGGAGCTCATAAAGCCGGATTGTAAATCTAGCATCGGATCTCCTCCTTGCTGGGTCATGTGAGCAACCAAAGCTGTCAGGGCAGTGCTCTGTTGAGAGAGGGCGTTGATGATAGCCTCTGGATCTTGAGCAGCATTGCCTGAGCTTCCAACCAGCAGCGCATCTGGCTCCTCCGGACTCTGATGCTTGACATGCTTTGACGAGGGTGATGTGGTCTGTCCCATTCTTGTCCTTGGCGGAGGTCCCACCACTTGTAAAGCCTTTGCCACCGAAAGAGAGGGGCCCTCCACGAAATCGAGCCCTGCGGACAAGTCCGGAAGCTTGTTGATATTGCCACCACCTCGCCCTCCAACAGCTTCTGCAGGCTTTGAAATCCCAGCAGCCGCAGAGTGGCTCTGCGACCCCTCCAACAAATCTTGGCGTGCCGACAGAACCTGAATTTGTGTTGTGAGTGCACTGAGCTGCTCCATGAGGACGGCGTTTGTGACCCGCTTCGGGGCCGCAGTGGACTTCCTCTGACCAGCCTTTGCCTTGACAGCCACCTCCGGGTCCTCTAGAGCCGAATAAAAAGCTGCCATCTGATCCGTCCTCTCTTGAAGCCATTCTTTGACACGCTTCAGGAGAACATCAATTTGAGGAATGCACGATGTATTGTCAGGGTGGTACGGGACGATCTCAATGTCTGAATCTGTCACAGGTCGAAAATTCTGGCAAAGTTCAGGAACTCATCACTGACGTCAATGACCAACACCGGGCCACTAATACCAAGAGGAACCATAGCACCATCATCGCCTTCCTCAATCAGCGGAACGTCAAAAAGTGAGCCCATGCCAAGCCAGGAAGGTGCAAGCTCCAAACCAGACCCCTCAGCCACAAAAGATTCGTCCAACACCCCATATGGGATACATGCAAGAAAACCGCCTCCACGAGCAATGAGAGGCAGCACAAAAAGCTCCGTCACTGACTCCACCAATGGAGGCGTAAGGGTGGCCACCATCAAGGAAAAGTCCACCCTGTCTCCAGCACACTTCAACTCTGACTTTTGCATTGGTATAGGGGAGGGACCCCTACACCGTAGCTGGCGCAGCACACCTGAACCTCCGTAATCGATGCGAAGCCCTGGTAGACTGCTGGATCACTGTGAGGGGCTTGAGAAGCGAGCAAAAACCTCAAATCTGTAATCTTGCGAACCCTCACTGGAGCTGAAACCCGGGAGTGACGAAAAATCAGCCACTGAGTGTCTGAGACCGAGATGGACTCTGCCTGCTTGTATTCAGAGTGGGTAGCCACAGCCGCCCAGCACCAAAAACCAGCCCGCCAAGCACGTGTGATTCGCTCTTTGGGATCACCTGCAACGTTGGAGAGTCGAGGAGCTGCTGAAATGAAGAGGTGCTCAGGCACCGGTTGGGGCCCGTCCTCAAACACTCTCAGGCGGTCGATCTCAACAATATACGGCTGATCGGCTCCAGGCTCCACAAATTCAAAACCAGCAATGGAAATGACCAGGCTGCTGGATGAAGGAGATGAAGAAACCAAAGATGCTCCACGTTCCAAGGCAATGCTCAAGCGATTCACAGCAGAAATCAACAAGTGGATGTCCTCCTTTGTGACACTAGAACTCATCCACTAGTCAACGTAGGCTGCCAGCCTGGCTTGACGATCCACCTCCACCGGCCTCTTTTGGACCACCTCCAGCCGAGTGAAATCAAACGGGGTGTGCCGTCCCCTGTGAAGGAGAGGAACCAAGTAGATGAAGGCAGCAAGGAGGAGGAAAAGAGCCAAGATGAGGCCCAAGGAAAAGCCAGCCACGAACCACGGCAAGCAGGATCCACTGCAGTGGAACGGACAGGAGGCACGCGTGGACAAGTCGAAGACAGCAGTGGCAGCCTCTACCCACCAACTAAGTCCTGAAAACATGCCCTTGAGAGGAAGGTCCGGAAAACGCTCATCTTTACTGAGACATATATTCAGTAGGTTGGAGGCCATCGCTCCATCCATACACACCTCTATACACCTGCAAAAACACACCTTTATAGGTGCCGACTTGCCGGTTCACACCACATCCAACCCATCCACACCCACATGTCCCGCTGGTTCAACCCACCGGTGCCCCCGGGTGGCGCCTTCCAAGTGCCTCTCAAAGACCTCGCTTAAGAGCTCCAAGGCTCTTTGCCAGCGCTTGGCTCGGCCACATGCACTGATGGCCTAAGAAAGCTTATTTGAAAAGAAAAAAAACGACGGCTGTGCTTGAGATGTACTATGATGTGTTGATGGAAGATGATAGAAGATCATGCAAGCTCGAAGGCATGATAACACAATGTCAGAACTTTGGTGGATGTCTCAAACGAGTTCGGGAAAAAAGGGGCCTGCTGGAGGCTCAAAACGTGACCTGCTGCGCAAACAGTAAAAAACACTTTGCCTTGGTCCTCCATCCTACTGCTTTCTGTCCTGTCTTGTTCGTAACTGCCCTGCAGAAGTGTCAACAAAAAAGTTTATTGAGGCATTGAGCAGCAAATCAGCCCAGTTACGGTATTGAAGCTCACCACTGATGGGCTTTGCAACTTGTCGAGCAAATTAAGGGCCTGCTGCCACTCTCCTGCTTTCCTCACGCAGAATTTGATTGGTGGAGAGACTGCCCCAACGACCCAAAAGAATTAGCCCAGCTGGAGACCCCAATAGCAAGATACAAACCGGGACAAAAAGAAAAATCTGGAAACAGCTGCTGTTTTCAACACATCGACCATCTCTTCCTTGGACACCATCATCACATAACCGGGACGCCATCACAAAATGACCAGGGCACCATCACAACATGACTGGGACACCGTCACAACATGATTGGGACACCATCGCAACATAACCGGGACACCATCACAAGGTGACCGGGACACCAGCATGACATGACGGGGACACCGTCACAACATGACCGGGACACTATCACAACATGACCGGGACACCGTCACATGACCCGGACACCATCAAAACATAACCGGCACACCGCCAAAACATGACCAGGACACCATCACAACAGGACCGGGACACCATCACAACACGACCGGGACGCCATCAAAACATGACCGGGACACCATCACAACATGACCGGGACACCATCACAACATGACCGGGACACCATCAAAACAGGACCGGGACACCATCACAACATGACTGGGACACAATCAAAACATGAT